AGGTGAATGTATTCAGATATTTGGGAGTGGACGTGTCAGCGGATGGGTCTATGAAAGATGAGGTGAATCATAGAATTGATGAGGGAAAAGGGTGAGCGGTGCACTTAGGAGCCTGTGGAGACAAAGAACTTTGTCCTTGGAGGCAAAGAGGGGAATGTATGAGAATATAGTTTTACCAACGCTCTTATATGGGTGTGAAGCATGGGTGATGAATGTTGCAGCGAGGAGAAGGCTGGAGGCAGTGGAGATGTCATGTCTGAGGGCAATGTGTGGTGTGAATATAATGCAGAGAATTCGTAGTTTGGAAGTTAGGAGGAGGTGCGGGATTACCAAAACTGTTGTCCAGAGGGCTGAGGAAGGGTTGTTGAGGTGGTTCGGACATGTAGAGAGAATGGAGCGAAACAGAATGACTTCAAGAGTGTATCAGTCTGTAGTGGAAGGAAGGCGGGGTAGGGGTCGGCCTAGGAAAGGTTGGAGGGAGGGGGTAAAGGAGGTTTTGTGTGCGAGGGGCTTGGACTTCCAGCAGGCATGCGTGAGCGTGTTTGATAGGAGTGAATGGAGACAAATGGTTTTTAATACTTGACGTGCTGTTGGAGTGTGAGCAAAGTAACATTTATGAAGGGATTCAGGTAAACCGGCAGGCCGGACTTGAGTCCTGGAGATGGGAAGTACAGTGCCTGCACTCTGAAGGAGGGGTGTTAATGTTGCAGTTTAAAAACTGTAGTGTAAAGCACCCTTCTGGCAAGACAGTGATGGAGTGAATGATGGTGAAAGTTTTTCTTTTTCGGGCCACCATGCCTTGGTGGGAATCGGCCAGTGTGTTAATAATAATAAAAAATAAAACAGCAAAGCATTCCAAGGTTTATTTAACCCAGGATAACCCAACGAAGTTCAGTAATATGATGTACTTGCATTAAGAGGCACGTAAGTTCCCCGGTCGTATAATAACATGTTCATTTTTCCACAATAATCTACTTTGTCCGTAATTACTATCGCATTTGTTTTGTCTGTTTCGTAAGGTGAAGTCTAGAATCTTACTTTAATTCATGGCATAACTTAACAAATCTTTGAGGATAATTGTGTTGTAGAGGTCTGAGCGACTGCGATGGTAATTACGGACAAGGTAGATTATAGTGGAAAAATGAGCTTGTTATTAGAAGACGGGAGAACTAAGGTACCTCGTAAGGTCCTCTGTGCTGTAACCTAGAACAACCGACTATCTTCCCAGGTACATATTTATTATTGGCTGAGTATATCGTGGACAACAGCTTTAAGATTTGCCTATATGTCTTGCCCCTCCCAGAAATCGAATCCGAGCCCTTCCGGTTGCGACATAAAGGATATTCCAGTGAGTTTCAGGACAAGTGTATGTGAGTGTTGGTGAATTCACCAGGACTCTGCGTATTATTACATTGGGAAGCAATCAGGTTTGATCCAAGAAGAGGGAGGGGTAGTTCCAATTCTTTCACCGGCATTAAGGCATAATAATGACTATGTTACTTAAGACTCGCTTCGCCAGGCCTCGCCAACGTAAATTATCTTGAAAATTATATTTCCGATATCTCTCCCTGGTAAATTATCTTGAAAATTACATTTCGATATCTCTTCCTGGTAAATTATCTTGAAAATTATATTTCCGATATCTCTCCTTGGTAAATTATCTTGAAAATTATATTTCCGATATCTCTCCCTGGTAAATTATATTGAAAATTATGTTTCCGATATCTCTCCCTGGTAAATTATCTTGAAAATTACATTTCGATATCTCTGGTAAATTATCTTGAAAATTATATTTCCGATATCTCTCCCTGGTAAATTATCTTGAAAATTGTTTCCGATATCTCTCCCTGGAAAATTATCTTGAAAATTACATTTCGATATCTCTCTCTGGTAAATTATCTTGAAAATTATACTTCCAATATCTCTCCCTGGTAAATTACCTTGAAAATTATATTTCCGATATCTCTCCCTGGCGGCTCCCCGTCCCCCACTACTGATTTAAATGTGACAATAAAACTACTTCTCCCTTTAACTAGATAAAGCTTCCCTCCTCCCTTCTTTTCCCCAGCCAGGAAGATGAAAGACCTGCACACGAAGGGATGGAGGCAGACACACATACTTTTAGGAATAGATATGATAGCGATCACGCTAAAAGGAAAGAGGAAATCCAGGCAGAGGCAGGTCCAGGAGCTAAGACTTGGCCCCCTGCAACCACAGTACATATAGGTGAGTACATACAGATGAGTACATGAAGCAACGTTTACTCTTATCATAAGAACGTTTCACTGAAAGATAATCAGGTTATATAACTTGATGAGGATCTTGAGCGAAACATTGTGATAATAAAGGTTTATATTGTTTCATGTGTGTGTCATGTGAGTGGGGAAGCGTCACGAGCGGTGTTCCACAGGGGTCAGTGTTGGGCCCCCTGCTGTTCACAATATACATAAACGACATAGATGAGGGCATAAAGAGCGACATCAGCAAGTTTGCCGATGAACCAAAATAGGCCGTCGAATTCATTCTGACGAGGACATTAGAGCACTCCAGGAAGATTTGAGTAGACTGATGCAGTGGTCGGAGAGGTGGCAGATGCAGTTTAATATAGACAAATGCAAAGTTCTAAATGTTGGACAGGACAATAACCATGCCACATATAAACTAAATAATGTAGATCTTAATATTACGGATTGCGAAAAAGATTTAGAAGTTCTGGTTAGCAGTAATCTGAAACCAAGACAACAGTGCATAAGTGTTCGCAATAAAGCTAATAGAATCCTTGGCTTTATATCAAGAAGCATAAATAATAGGAGTCCTCAGGTTGTTCTTCAACTCTATACAGGTTAGGTTAGGTAAGGTTCGTCAGGAAACAGGACAAATGTTTCCTGACGCGGGTCTTAGTCAGATGATGACCCGCCTTTGGAGCTTTTGGTCATCTGACCGAGGCCTTCCGCTGGCTTACCGGTCCACCCCTTTAAAAATTATGGTCATTTATAACCAGTCTATATACATCCTTGGTTAGGCCTCATTTAGATTATGCTGCACAGTTTTGGTCACCGTATTACAGAATGGATATAAATGCTATGGAAAATGTACAAAGGAGGATGACAAAAGTTGATCCCATGTATCAGAAACCTTCCCTATGAGGATAGACTAAGGGCCCTGAATCTGCACTCTAGAAAGACGTAGAATTAGGGGGGATATGATTGAGGTGTATAAATGGAAGACAGGAATAAATAAAGGGGATGTAAATAGTGTGCTGAAAATATCTAGCCTAGACAGGACTCGCAGCAATGGTTTTAAGTTAGAAAAATTCAGATTCAGGAAGGATATAGGAAAGTACTGGTTTGGTAATAGAGTTGTGGATGAGTGGAACAAACTCCCAAGTACAGTTATAGAGGCCAGAACGTTGTGTAGCTTTAAAAATAGGTTGGATAAATACATGAGTGGGTGTGGGTGGGTGTGAGTTGGACCTGATTAGCTTGTGCTACCAGGACGGTTGCCGTGTTCCTCCCTTAAGTCAAGGTGACCTGACCTGACTAGGTTGGGTGCATTGGCTTAAGCCGGTAGGAGACTTGGACCTGCCTCGCATGGGCCAGTAGGCCTGCTGCAGTGTTCCTTCGTTCTTATGTTCTTACTTGTGGTTTCCTTGTCTCTTCCATCGTCCGCCAGCCAGCCAGCCAGCCAGCCAGCCAGCCAGCCAGCCAACCAGCCAGCCAGCCAGCCAGCCAACCAGCCAACCAGCCAGCCAGCAGCTGGCACTACCATGTACTACTCTTCACAATTTTGTCCCCAGGATGCAACCCACACCAGTCGACTAACACCCACGTACCTACTTGCTGCTAGGTGAACATGGACAGCAGGTGTCTTAAGGAAGACGCCCCCAATATTTTCACCCTCACCAGAGATCGAACCACAGACCTCAGTGTGTGAGCTGAGTACGCTACCAACCGAACTGCGGAACACCAAAGCTTTCCACAAATGAAAAAAGCTTTTGCAAATGATTAAGCTGTGTACAAAGCTTGCTCTACGGGAATGTCTCTTCCGCGCCACAGTTTAATTTTACATTTTAGGAATTTGTTTCATGTTTTTTTATGATGCTGATAATTCTTTATTTTTTAATCACTGGAAATATATAATTCATGTTAACGGTTATATTATTATTATTATTATTGTTTTTATCAGTCAATATTAGTATTATTATTATTAGATTCATGGGGAAGCAGTAAACCCGTTGGGCTCATACATCACATGGGGAGTGGGCAATAATCAGGTTTGTATTTAGAGGAGAGGATGGCTTGAATTCCTTGGATCAAGAGCTCTTTCACCGTCATCAAGGCGCCCCTCCCCTTGAAGGATATTTATATCATAATAATCGGGTCCACACATCTAAATTAGGTGGTGTATCACTTGCGTTACACGTCTGCTGCCTTGGGCAAAGTTGCCACCGAGACAAACATTATCTTCACGTTCCATTAGTGAGTTATCTCAACTATCAGCGTCATGTAGTTATCTTAACTATCAGCGTCATGTTATCTACTATCGGTGTCATGTAGTTATCTGTACTACCAGCGTCATGTCGCTATCTACTATCAGTGTCATGTAGTTATCCACTATTAGTGGCATGTAGTTATGTGTACTATCAGCGTTATGTAGTTATCTGAACTATCAGTGTCATGTTATCTACTATCAGTGCCTTGTAGTTATTTACTATCAGCGTCATGTCGTTATCTACTATCAGCGTCATGTAATGTGCACTATCAGAGTCATGTAGTTATCTGCACTATCAGCGTTTTGTAGTTATGTGTACTATAAATGTCATGTTCCTCTCTGCATTATGAGCATGAAGTAATGTGCACTGTGTGTCATGTAGTTATGTGCACTGTGTCTCATGTAGTTGTGTGCAATTGTGTCTCAAGTAGTTACGTGCACTATATATGTCATGTAGTTATGTGCACTGTGTCATGTGGTTATATGTACTATGAGGGTCGTGTACTCACCCTCTTCCACATGTAGATGTAGGCTACCTCCATCAAGGTCCAGATGTCTAGTAGTCTGTCGTCTCCATACAACAGCTCCACCTGTGGAAGATTGAGAGAGAGATTTTAGAAGGTAATAATGCAGCTTATCTTCATTTTCCTGCTATAATTTTTTCACGTGGTTCCCAAACATCAAATTCTCAACGCTTCTTGCAAATTTACAAATGATGTTTTCATTAGGTTAGGTTATGTTGGGTTGAATTACGGTATATAACCATTAATAAGTAAATTATCTTCATGACGAAGTGGAGAAGATTTCTTCTTCCGCAAGTCATGCGTATCGTAAGAAGCGACTAAAATGCTGAAAGCAAGGGGCTAGTAGCCCCTTCTCCTGTACAAATTACAAGATGTAAAAAGGACAACAACTTTACGTTTCTTCTTTTTCGGGTCACCCAGCGTTGGTGGGAGACGGCCGTTGTGTAAAAAATAAGAAAGGCCGTGTTGCGAGTAACAACGAGGTAACTAAAAACAACACAAACATTTAAATCTGAGCGACTGTCCCAGGTGAAGCGAGAATTAGCTGAATAATGTTATACAATACTGGGATTATCGTCCATACATAACTTAATATCAAATAGAATCGTCCCTCAGTAAAGTAATTTGATTTTTTTATACGCGTCGTTTTCGATAATTTTGCGCCTGTACAATGAAAGTATAATGGCTGTAAAAATCAATTAAGAAGAGAATACCGGACAAAATCCGAGCGCAGGTTTTGGATAACAGGTGTCCATAACTTTAAATTCCAACGTACATTATAACTTTTTTTTTTTACTAATTCTTCAGTAGAATAGAAGAGTACGAGAGGAAGCATCAGGATGGGCGAGGGTAACAGATAGTGCACCCAAAGGATTAGTGTTGGGACCAATACTGTTCTTGGTTTACATAAATAATCTACCATAGAATATACTCGTACACGTCTTTATTTACAGATGTAAAAGATTGAATTATTTACAGGCTATCGGTAATCTTTGCTTCAGGAAAGTATTGTGCAACACATAGGCTTCATCGCAATACAAAGAGGAGGGTTAAGTAAAAGGGCAATGAGGTTAAATCCCTCAACTTGTGAAGAATGGTCAGAGTCCACATCTTGTAAATTAGACACAGGCAGCTGTAACTTTTCAGAAACTTTGGACCGAAGATCTACTTCATACAAAGGAAAATCTTAAACAGAGACCACTCCAGGTAATCAGTCCCTACAATTGATAGTCAGTCCGGACTTGCATGTCCCCATTGCAAATTGTCTAACTTAATCAATCGACGACAGTTATAACTTTTTTTACCTCAATTCTTCTATAAGTCCTCAGGATTGGATGGGAGGGAAAGCCACTGTGTGGCAAGCCAAGATTAGTGTTGGACCCATATCTGTTACTGGGTTTCTAATCTACATGTCGTTTATTAAAACTCGTACAGTCTATTTAAAGTTTGATGAAAAGAATAATAATAATTGCTGACGGGAATACGTTTCAGGGGGTTTAAGTTGCGAGAATACTGAAAAAATATGGCTGTTTGAGTTTAATCCATGTTCAAGATAATGCAAATCGGGAAAGAGGAAGAAAGATCGGAGAGAGATTACATCTTTGAGAGAAATCCTACAAAACTCCGTAAAAGGTGAGATCCTGTGAGTGAACATCACGTTGAATATATCTTAGGAGGATCACATTAACAGTGACGGCGGCAGCGTATGAGAAGCTGGCAAACTTCAGAACAGCTTTCAAGTATCTTTAAAAAAAAAAAAAAGGTATTGAGGATGAGTACACATGAAGTATATTGTCAGGAGTCCATCTATTAACAGTATCGAAAGGTTTGAGCTTTGCTCAGACTTCTGAACAGCCTCAAGATTTGTTAAGAAACAAAAAAAGGAATGTCAGGATTGACCTTACAAATGCATGTACAATAGCATGGAGTCCATCTATACAAGGTATATTTAGGAAAAAGTTGATTTGGCTCAGACTTCTACAAACAAGTGCTACCAATATTTGTTAGGATAATGTACATGGGAATTAAGAAAATCCTGACCTTCACCTTACGCAGACAACAAATGGTAGTATTATGCAAATTATAAGGGAAATAACCACAGATATTTAGGTGAAGGAAATACTCACACTATAAAACCGTGACCTCTGATTTACTAGGGTCTGTGTAGGACTTAACATAAAGACGTGCGGGTATCAAAATACTACAGCTTGACCCGTATTTCTTTTCCCTGACAAATAATAAATGAGTATTTGCACAATAATAAGGGACAGTTACCTCAGGTACGTTTCTCGAGTTGAGGATGACGATTTTTGCTTTGCATTTCACTTATGTACATTCTGCCTTGATTTAACACTGAAAAATCATACGCTGTAGGCTTACTGGTCCATCATAAAAAATTCCAACACTGTGACACTTATGGTAGGGTAGAGAAGATGGACATGAGCACACATGGAAGAGCAACTATCAACACTAGTACAATAAGAGAACAGTCAGGTATGGAGGTAATTTTGTTAGCACTGTCACGAAAGTAGCAACAGTCCCATACGCTGACGTCTATGTTAGTATACCGTAGTTAAGCGTTTCAACCAATTACAGTTAATGTACAATCGTCAGTATTTAGCAAGCCAGTAAAAATTCATACCAGTCACGTACTGTATCACCAAATCAAGTAATGTAGCAACAGTCACAATGTTACATACTCAATGTGTTAGGTAAGACGAGGAATTAACGTACACCACACAGAATGAGCAACCATCACAGTATGTACAGTAAATGTTAGCAACCAGTCACAGTAACGTTAGCAACCAGTCACAGTAATGTTATCAACCAGTCACAGTAACGTTAGCAACCAGTCACAGTAACGTTATCAACCAGAGTAACGTCATCAACTACAGTAACGTTATCAACCAGTAGTGTTAGCAACCAGTCACAGTAACGTTAGCAACCAGTCACAATAATGTTAGCAACCAGTCACAGTAACGTTAGCAACCAATCACAGTAATGTTAGCAACCAGTCACAGTAATGTTAGCAACCAGTCACAATAACGTTAGCAACCAGTCACAGTAACGTTATCAACCACAGCTAACGTTATCAACCAGTAATTCAGTGACACAATAATACAGAAATATAATGTACTGTACAGCCAAATATTGAAAGTTAATTTTTAGTTTCGACAAATAATGTTTAATATTAGATTCAGGTTTAACGAAAGTATTTTGCACATAGATTAAATCAAATACAAGACAGTTAAATCAAGGTGATCTATCGAAAGTTAAAAATGTACCCAAAAGCCGGAGATCAATCTCCACAAACATAAGAGTAATTATATAGAGACACGAGAGTAACAACAAACAAACAAACAATCAAGCACAGCGATGCGAGGCTGCACACGAACACAGGTACAGTTTTAATGAGAAAACCTCAAATGTATGAGCAGACTCTGTGAATAATTACCACTGTCACCCCCCCTCTCCCCACCCCACCCATGTATCATAACCTCCACCATCCCCCACCCTTCTATCGTAGCCTCCACCACCCCACTTTCAATATTGCCTGTGAAGAGTTCTTGTTCTGAGGAATTAGAGCTACTACCCCTTTGCTCGGATCTAACCTAATTACCTCCCATTCCCAAAGGGTTGTAGGACTTTTTACGGGTTTAGCACATCCTAATGAATATGGCAATAATTGACCTAGTATGTTTACCGAGCCTGACTTCACCATCCTTCCATCATACATTCCACACCTCTTCTCACTGAACGGAGGATTGGATCTCATGGACTGGCTTGCCATGAGTTCCAACTCTGCCTTTGGTGAATTGTATGTAATAATGTCATTACTATTTCGTGAGTCATTCTCACCTCATCACAGGAATGATCTGTCGCGCAGCTCCTGTCAAACTCCCTGTGACTGTTTTTATCCCCTAGAGGAAGTTCCTTGATGCCGGTGAGGCGCTCTTGATCCATGGTACTGGACATGATCTCCCCTTTCTTAGATTGAACTTGTTTGCCTCTCAGGTCCCCAGGCGCCGTGTAACCCCTAAGGGTTTAGCTCTCCTTCCCCTTGTGAATGTAATATGTCTGTGTTTTTTGTATAGTAGCAGCGCACTTGATGCAAATCAAAGCATATAGATATGCTAAAGCTCTACACAGAGCCAGACTTTATGGTAGAGTCTGCTTTATGTAGAGCTTAGGTAGATTTTACCACCGTACTTGTGGGCAACACCTGCGTGTTTCCTCTATATCTGGAGCATCAACGTCGCGCTCCATATGCTCCTCCAGTGTTCCATATCCGGCCATACTGTATCAGAAATCTTTCCTGCTAAGATAGACTGAGGGCACTAAATCTACTCTCTCTGGAAAGGTGTAGAATTAGGGGAAACATGACAGAAGTATACATGTGGAAGACAAGAATAAATAAAGGGGATATTAATAACATGCTTAAAATATCTAACCAAGACATGACTATACACGATTTTTCGGGCCCACTTGGACTATTACCTAGTTATAGTATTGGGTTCAAGATTGAAAAATTTAGATTTAGAAAGGATATAGGAAGAAAGCATTGGTTTTGCAGTTGAGTTGTGGATGAGTGGAACAAACTCCCGAGTAATGTTACTAAAGCGAGACCCTTGGGTAGCTATAAAAACAGGTTGGATAGATACTTAAGAGGGTGTGGGCTAGATCTGCCTAGCATGGACCAATAGACCTGCAGCAATGCTTCCCCTTTCTTATGTTCTTATACAACATTTCACTTATCTTCCATAGCAGACTTAATTATTTAGACCCCGGTGGCTTCCTTAGTCCAACACAGAGAAGAGTAGTTGAAGATCAGGACTCTAGACTGAGGGATTGATTACCTCAAACTTCTTCTCACCTTCAATCATTCCTCTCTGTATTGGACTATGGAAGTCACTTGTTGGCGAAAACTTTTCCACAATAAATATCCAAGTGTTTTACAAGTGTCTAATTCGTCAACCTGTCAGTTCTGTGTACCAAGTTATCTTCAATAATATTGTGCTATCAGCTTCTCTCTGAGAAAAACTTTTATCACATTTAGCTAATAATTA